GTAGGACCACATGCCATGGTCACTATTGCCAGAGGGAGGATGCGGTCAGCTTTCTCCTAAACATTTAGCTTGGCCTCCACAGTCCTGTGCTTGGTGAACCTCACTGGCCCTGTTTTACTGGGCAGTTTGTGGGGAACAGCTGCCTAGTGGCTCTTCTCTGTTTTGTTAGGCAATGTAGTTCATAAAAGTTGCGGCCTTCAGCTTAACCATATTCCTGAGTGGAAAGTCTTGTTCACTGCAGTGTCTGGGCCAGAGACCTTTACATCACTGCAGTCAACAGTGTTAAAAACAGTCACTCCTTACATGACCTTAGGTTAGCAGGAAGCAAGATGGAAGAATGCCCTTCCAAAAGCAAGGATTTCCAACTTGAGTAGGAACTGTTTTTTACATGTACAAAAACAAGTCATTATTTACCATTTCCACTCAGTTGTCTGTCTAGTCAGGCACATTAATCACTGAGTTTCACTCAAGGCACAGTCATCAAGCAGTGCAGAAGAAAACAGTGTCTGGTAAAGACATTAGAGATGGTATTGGTGATGTAAAAACAATTTGGGTTTTATTTGCAGATCTGTGGTACAATTAAAACCAACAGCTGCTCTCTACTCTGCTCCAGAGATGAGTGGCAAACCCAACATTATAATGGAAGCAAATATATTTTCTTTTTAAATGCCCACTTTTGCTTTTCTTTTCAAGGACACTTTCCTCATTCAAACAAATGGAAAGTCAATGTCCTCATTGAAGAAGAGGAGTGTGTGCAGATCCCAGCTACAGAGACTTGAAATAGAAAAACTGATATGAATGAAACTCAAAAGAGAATGAGTGTTGTTGTGTAAGCATGGGCATAGAAAGCAGAACAAATATTAAAAGAATGTCTTGTATTGGTAACAGAGGACACAGTTCATGTCAATCACTCTGAGAAGTGTGTTGTTTCCATCAAGTGCTGTAAGGACAGCACAGATGACTTGGTAGCTAATGACCCTGCATTCTTGAAGAGGATGGCAAAAAGGTTGAAGGCTCTCACACATGCTACTCCTTTTTCTCTCAGTGCAGATTCCACCTCATTCAGCTTGGTTCACACCTTTTCTCAGAGCTTGGGAGAAGCATACATCTATTTCCTATGTAGGCAATGATTTTTAGTGATTTTGTAGATACTTGCATAAGGGAGTACAACCTTATACTACATTCAAAAAAAACCGTCCCACATTCAGAGGTGTAGTTTGCATTTGTAGACTTTGCATTTGCAAACACGGTGGACTGTGTGTGCCACAATTAGTTAGGGTAGCTTAAGAGCAAGGAGGCAAAGGAATCAAAACTGGAACTGTACTATTTCTTCAAACAGAAACTGATTATCAAATACAGTTTTCTAAATAAACTGTAACAAAATGACAGGATTAAAAAAGAGAGTATTTCTGACTTCCAGCTCAAAACATGAGCAGAAATGAAAATCAATGGCTTGCACTAAAAAATTTAACCAGGTTTGTAGGGGAAAATGTGAAGAAGGGAACAAGGGCAACACAAAAATTCACAGGGGCCAGGAATGAAAATTCCTTTAAACCCAAATGAGGTGAGCTGGGTACCTGGCTCTGTCTCTTGAGATGGGTGAAAATGTTACATAAAAATGTGGACAGCGAAGAGTGAATACTAAAAACTCCCACTCTTGTCTCTGCCCCTTAGAAATTCCCACAGACTTCCCTATCCAGCCCTCCTTTCCTACCTACATGTAAGCTCTAACTCCACCACTGCTGCCTGTCTCCTCTCCTGAACATATCTGGCCTGTGCTGTCACACTCTACTACCTGTGTCTCCAAAAAACTCATTCAGAAGTTGCAGTGATTCTATTTATGGAAAGTTACAAAATACAGACCAAATGTCAAAAAATATATATTTACTTAACAATATATATTTATTGTCTGTGTCACTTGGTGACCCAGGCTCTTTTCAGTGAAAACTCCATTCAAAGTAACTGCTCAAGGATTTTTTCTTAATGTTTTAAATATGCATAAGAGTTTCAAATTATTTCTATATTGCCATCAATGATTTTTTTTTCACTGCAGTGATCTGTTTGTTAATTCCAGTGCTTTTCAACACACTTCATATATTTCCTTTAACTGTGAAGTATCAAACACCTTGAGACTAGCTTCCTTTCATCTATAAAATGCATATTTAGTAAAGATGGCAATGACAAAAATAGTTCAATTTGAAAGCCTCCCAGAGGGCATGTATTGTAGCAAAAGTTTGTACCACTCTGTAAAATGACCACACCATGCTGTTAATGAGCTTGCTGAACATTGCAAGCAAGATGTGTAAAGATTTCCAGTCAGATTGTTTGCCCTGTTATGCTGCTTAAGTTAAATAATGGTAAGCAACACTCTTTGGTAGTATTATTGTTAAAGCATTAACTCCACCAGGCACCTTTTTTCTTGTACACTTATCTTTTATAAAGTAAAAAGTGATTTTAGTACATTCCTGTCATTCATAGACTTAAGCAAGGAGGTTTTTGGGAGCTGAGTTGCCCAATTGCATTCCTATGCCATCTCCTGGGATAGTTTCCATTCATTTTTCTTAGTAGCCAGTAGCAAGCATGCATGTTTATCCATACCAAGTATTATTGTACTTCCAAAATTATGTTTTAATATATAACTGCTTATTTAAACAGATCAGATACACAGGCTCAAGACAAATTTAAGCCCATGAATACAACATCGAAGATGAAAGGGAAGAAGTAAATTAAATTTTGGGATGTTTATTACAACACACACATTTCTTTGTGGTATTTCAAATGAAAATACACAGTCTGGACACCTAGAGCACCTTGCTCTCTTATTATCCTGCTTTTGCACATGTAGCTTCTCATCTTGTGAGTTAAATAGAACCTGTTTCCCCTAAAAATCCAGAAAGCTTTAAATTATTATTTCATATTTTTTTCTTAATGTGACTGAGGTGGCATTTGAGAAATATGAGCAGTTCCACCAACAGTGGTTTATCAAGCATGTGTCTGCCCTGGTGTGAGATGTGGAGCTTTTAAATGTCTAATGCCAACTGTACAGCTATTCAATATGTCAGAAATCATAAAGGGCAAATTCTACATTTGTCCCTATTGCTCTTCCTTCCAAGAAATGCTGAGCCCTGATGCTGATCTTGCTGAAGTGCCAAGTTAAGAGAACTTGCAGTACAATTAGGCTAAATGATTATTTGAAGTGGAAAATAATGGAGAACATATTAAATTTGATTCAAAGTATGGAGTGACAAAGGTGTGTGTCTTGTTTTCCATTAGAATCTAATGTACTTTATGGTGTATCTGCCCCCCTCTTTTAATTTTTTTTTCCCAGAATGTAATTAGAAAAGCATTTAGCCTCAATTATGCAAACACATGAATACATGATCAATACATGATCAATACATGGAACCTTCTTCATCCAACTGAGTATTGAGTAAAACAGTGTACTTGTAATATTGGAAATTTCAGACATACATATCATAAAGAAAACCTGAAAGAGACGGAAACAGGTATGATTGCTATTCAGACATTATACAAACTTGTTCTAAAAATTCTTAGCTTGTAATTGAATCCATTAAAATACATCTATACCTCAAAGAGTTCCAGATGGTTCTCTTCAAATTGTCATACAAACAATGTCCAAAGAATTGTTGTCACTCATACTGGAAAAATATGTCAAATGGAGGCTTGAAGAGATTTGTTACTATTGGATATCATTATTAATGACTTTTGAATAGAGTATGGTTCTTAGACTTCCAGATATAAGCAAGTCAGGATGGTTGGCATGCATTTTAGAGGATAACATTATAAATAAAATTTTGTAGACAAATGTTGCAAGTTGCCTTAAACAGGATTAAATTCAATGGAGAAAAGCAGAAAGCACTACAGTCAAACAGAAATAAAGCTTCAACATGTATGAAATGCCAATAACAGAAGAGCATCCAGAGGCTCTTTTAGTAAATCAGGACTCATATGAGTCAGCAATGTCACACCGTCAAGAAAACAAACATCATACTGGGATATGTAAACAGAAGTCTTGTATGCAAGACACATGAAGAAATACTTCCACTCTGCTCAGTATTCCCAGGGCCTCAACAGAAGTACTGTATCCAGTTTTTGGCACAGTACTGCAACAAAGTGGAGAGGGGCCAAAGGAAAACAACAAGAATAATCAGAAGTCTAGAAAAGACAACCGAGGGAAAGACTGACTGAAGAGGAGTTGTTTAGTCTGTGGGGAAGATGACAGGCTGAAGGGACACTGGCAGTTCTCAAACTCAGGGAAGGCTGATGCAAAAGAGGAGGTTAGAGCCTGTTCTCCCTGGCTATACAATGTATTTTATATGTAATAAAGTAATGGCCTAAAATTCAGCTAGGGCTACCTTGACAAGTTTTCTTACTGATTGCTTATATGGATAGAAAAGTTCTGAGACTGTGTGAGAAAATGGTGGAGTCTCTAGAATCGGGATTGTTCAGTCTGCAGAAAAGAAGGCTCCAGAGTGACCTTACTGCACAGGCCTTTATGTACCCCCCCTAAAAGGGATATGAGAGTGAGAGAGAGACTTCATACAAGTGCATGCAGGGATAGAGCAGGGGGGACGGCTCTAAACTGAAAGAGTGCAGGGTTAGATTAGATATCAAGAGGAAATTCTTCGCTGTGAGGGGCAGTGAGGCCCCTCTGGGCAGTGGCACAGGTTGCCCAGAGAAGCTGCGGCTGCCCCATCCCGGCAGTGTTCCAGGCTAGGCTGGACGGGGCTCTGAGCAGCCCAGTCTAGAGAAAGGTGAATGAGATGATCTTTAAGGTCCCTTCCAACGCAAACTAGCCAGCGACTATGATTTGGCTGCCATAGCTATTTATTTAGTTGCCATATGTAATTGCCATAGCAAACCCCCGCCGCCCGCCCGATTAGCCCCACACGGGGCGGCCCCGCCCCTCAGCGGGTGCGGCCGGGCCATAGCCCCGCCCCCCGCCCTGCCCCCTGTTGCTTGGTTACCGCGCAGGGCGTCACTGCGGGGCCCGAGCCACGGCGGCGAGAGGCCGACAGCCAGGCTGAACCATCCCCCGATCCTGTGGGGGAAGAAGTGGGTGTGTCCCGAAGCAGTAGATGGACTTGTTGCTGTATCTCCCGCCCTCAATTTACCGCTTCCCCCCTTTTCTCGGCCCTGTCGTTGGTTTCGCCCCGCGCGGACCATAGCGACGGAGGGCGCGCCGGAGGAAGATGGCGGTGGTGGCTCCACCGTTGGTGCCGGCTTTGTGAGCGCGGCGCTCGCTCTTCTCCCTGTCCCGTTCTCGCTCCTGCACCCGACTCCTCCCGGCTGCTCTCAGCCTCTTCTTTCCCGCCGGGGCCGTAGAGATCATGTCGGACTCGGAGGAGGAGGAGAGTCCGGACCGCCAGCTCAAGCTGGTGGTGCTGGGGGACGGCACCACCGGCAAGGTCAGTGCCGGCCCCGCCGGCAGCTCCTCTCCCTCGCCGCGGTGCCCTGAGCCCCTTCGCCGCCTTCTCCCTCACGCTGCCCGGCTCTGCTGCTGAGGAGGGAGCAGCCCGCGGCGCTTCCAGTCTGTCGCGCAGCCGCTGTCGCGATACCCGCTGGCTGCTCCCTCTCGGCTCCAGGCCCTCCAGGCACGGGGGACGCAGGCTCTTCCCGCCGGTGTCCGCGCCGTGCCCGGCAGCCGAACCCTCTGGCGGGCCTTCCGACCCGAGGAGGTATCGTCACCTAAAAGACGTACACGACTGTAATCCAATTTTCTTGAGCCGCGAGCAAAGGAGCGGCCAGTAACGTAGTTCGTGCTGTGCTGACGGAGTTGCCGTGGTCCCCGTGCGCTGCCCATGGCGCGATGGAGGCAGGAGCTGCTCGGCCGGAGCCGCTGGAACAGCCCAGAGCCGCTCTCGGCGGCTGCAGTGCCCCGGGCGGGCAGGGCTGGGGTCCGGACCGGGCACGGGCGTTTGTGGCTCCCCTCCAAAGGGACGAGCAGGGAAGGTCGCTTAGCTGGGGCTGCAGGCGCCCTTCCTTTCGGATACAGAGCTGCCAGCCTCCCGAGCTGGATGTAACACTTTGCATCTAGTGGAGTTACTGTTCAGAGTTTGAAAAGGCACTGCTGCGTCTATTTTAGTTTGTAACTCCTATGTTTTTGGTTTTTTTTTTTTTTCCTATCTGTAATCACCATAATGAAACCCGGTTTATAAACGTTTTTTATCAACAATAATCAAACAATAATCAAACCAATCAAACAATAATCAAACCAATCAAACAATAATCCAACAAATTTCTCTTTGTAAAAGAGAAATTTTGACAAGGAGAGACCAAAGAAGGCAAAAGAAAGGCTGCTTTCTTGACCATTTAAAATAGTTACTGATCCTAACTATTCCCTTGAACATTGCATATTGGCATATATAGCCTGAATAATTTTGTGAGACACACCTGAAAATAGTAAATTTATTGTATGATTGAAGTATACAGTTCTAATAGTAAATTTATTGTATGATTGAAGTATACAGTTCTTTCCTCTGTCATTAACTTTTGAAATTGCAAGGAGAAGAAATTCTGCATGCTTCACAGTTCATATGAAAAAAGGAAATGTTCGTAGAGCTGGTTTAAGTGTAGTGCCTTGCATTAATAGGAATAAGCTCTAAGTGAAAGTACATGTGGTTTTGCTCACTTACTTACTCAGAGCTCTGTAAAGAAACAAAACATTTTTTTTGTCTCCAGTGATTCTAAACCCAGTCTGAAGTGGTATTGTGTTCATCTGAGTCAGTACATGGGCAATTCCAACCAGCTGTGTGATAAGAGCATAATAAATGTACACCATTGACAGCTGAAGTGCTGCTTCATGGGTAGCATTTCCCAGGAGTTTCCCATTCACACTGAAGAATCCTTTCACTGCTGCTGTTGAGCAGCTTGTGGCAAGACCTCTCGCCAAGCATGGATTTTCAAGCATTCTTGAGTTTTGATGTATATTCCTGTTGGTTCCTACCTCTCTCACAGGAGCTGCCACTCACTGCATCTCCTGCTGACTCCAGGAATCTCATGCTTCCAGGGCAGGTTCTTGGGCACGAGCAGCAGCAGTACTCTGGTGGGCTGCTTTTCCTCCTGTCCCCCCTAGATGATGCTGTAATAGAGGCTCCTTCCCACCATCCCACTGGCCTGGCAGCACTCAGATTTATTGTAGGGTCTTGTAAAAATAAAGAAGCAATTGGGTCATGGAATGGGAGGATAAAATGTACCTACTACTATTTTTTACCTCAGAAGACTAAATTGTTGAGGCTTCTCTCTTTTGTTGTCTACTCGTTCCGCTTACTTGTTGAAACCTGTGTATGTCTATGTGTTTTCAGCTCTAAATTGCCTGGCTCTCACATCTGGTTCACAGCTGGTCTTCACACACATGCATACTTACCTCTCTTTTACTGTGCAAGGTGTTGGTTTTTCTCTTCCTGTCACTCTGGGATCATGAGACAGGAGGTGTGTGGAAAATGATGGGATATATCTGAAATGCTGTATCTTGTATTTAGTGTGAGGTGTTCACATTTGTCTTTTACCTCCTCTTTTCCAAAAGAACAACAAAAAAGTTGTTGTTATGGGTCAGGTGGTAACTTGCTGTTTTCCTCACCCATTGCTTAGAAGCAATGTGACTCAAGTTCTGTGAAGGGATTGGTAGCAGCTTAAAAACAAATCAATGTCAGTTCAAGCTAAAGGTAATGTTTGTACTTACACTAGCTAGGAATTGCTCTATCCATGAGGCAAGGGAGGCATGATGTGCGTCTGTTAATTTGTTTTGAGGTGGTTGAATTGATAACTGGATACTTAAATTTTTAAGGGTAGCAATAAGCACTGCTGGAGCAAACACAAGTAAAGAAGAGTAAAAGTGGAAGAAGGCATAAGAGAAGTGAGACAGTAGAATGTGTAAAACTGTTAGGGTAAAATAGAGATGTAAGGTAATGGTAAACTGCGGAAAATCAAAATTGAGGGAAGCAAGACTGGTTAGTCAGAAGATAATAGAGGATAATTTTAATGAACTAGACAAACTAGGAAAACAATCTAAAGACCAATCAGAAGTGGCGGCAATGGGGAGATGAAAAAATCAAGCAATTATTAATAGCAGTTGGCTCTTTGATTTTGAAAATAGGAAGGACATATATACACACAGCTGCTTTACGTGTCTAGGTTTTAAATCAACCCACTCTTCCTGGGCCAAAATGATTTTCCATTAAAATAAACCAACATTACTACTAGTATGGAATTAAAAAAAAAAAAAAAGATGTTATGATCCAGATATTTCTACTCTTTTTGTGCATAGAATGGCTTAATACTGAAATATACAAGGATGCTGATTTAAGATAGAATATTATGATTTGCCAATGTTGAAAAAGGTTTTGGGCCTCTGGAAGTAAATCTCAGAGATGTTAATGGGAAGGGAGGTCCTGAAAAATAGGTGTGCTGAGGTTCTGTTTGTTTGCTATCTGTTGTAGCTGGAATTAGAGTATGGTAGCAGAAACATCCTACCTTTCCTTTTGGTAACAGTGGATGATGAAAATGAAATAATGAATGCTCAAGCTATGGGAGTTGTAGGAGCTAAAACATAGGTTGGCATAAAAAGTAGTGTCCTGCTTACTTAAGGATTTTTTAGGATAGCAGATTTTTAAGCATTGTGCCAATTTTGAATTGTCCTGTTACACTTGGACTCAAAAACTTCATAGATGGTGACAAAAATATTTTTGTCACTGTTGAGTCTCGCAAATGGAGAACTGAATGAAGTGTGCTGTGCAGATTGGCCCAGCTGCATCAAATAGACCTACATCAAATGTCAAGAAGTTGTGATAATTTTCTCTTTTTCAGTGAAGAAAGTTGCATCAGTAGTTGACAGTGGGATGGAAGGACATTAGCTTGGACAGTTATGTGTTTTTATGGTAGTTAAAGCGTTTAATCATTTAGCCTAGTGTTTGTTTTAGTTTTGCTTGTCCTAAAATTCTTGCCAGTAAGGTAGGACATGACTGAGGAATTAGTGTAACTGTGCTTGGATAATGACATTGATGTTCTAGAAGGGAGTGAGAGAAAGGATAGATACACGTGGTTTTTGGAAAATAGATTTTCAATTTGTGGCTAAAGTTTGTGTGTGAATGGAAATTCATGGCTTCAGAGCTATGTGCTTGCATCTAATTTAATTTTTGGTTTAGTTTTCTTTCTTACAACTGTGATACTACACTTTGGCACTGCTTTCTAATTTATAACTTAATTCTATAGGACTTTACTCAAAGAGGTGTCATTGGTGGGGTTTTCCCTACAAGTTTCTGGTTGCCCTGATGAGTAGTCATTGTCAGAGCTGGCTATCCTTGCTTGTTCCATATGACTTTCAATTTAATTTTTAGTTTATTTCATAGATATTGTTTGCATTTTTCCTCTTTACTCGTTATGTAGGTCTTCAGGAACAGCATGTCAAATTCAGTTTATACTGAATTGTTCACGTTGAAAAATAGAAGCAAGGAGCTATCATGCCTTTTATGTAAGGTTAAATTCAATCTTTGCTTCTTTCAAAAAAGCCTTCCATAATATCCTATTGTATTTTGAACTTAGAATACTGTACTTTTTTTTTTTAACTGCTATCTTGGTTGCTGTATATTAGAGCTCAAAGACATTTTCTTGTTTTTAACAAGGCTTCTTTAACCCCAGCCTTCTTCAATGAAGTATTGATATTTAGAATAGGATGTTGACATTCACTTTGAAGTATTTAAGGCAGGTGTGTGAAACTTCCAAACTGATGGAATTTTTGCTGGAAATTCTGCTATGCAAGCTGGTGACCTGTTTGTCTTAATAGAGCTGCAAAGGAACAAAGGCCTTCATACTATTGTATTGTTTTCTGAACCTGACGTTAAGGGGTGGAATTGTATGGAATGCAACCTTTCTAAAAAATGGTCTCTGATTACTTATTTATTTTTACTACTACAGTTCTACTGAACCATTATTTAACTTTCATTAATTCTTATATAGATTGTATTCAACATGTCCTCAGGTGAAACAGTTGAGCAAAATCTTTTCTGGCAAGCATGGCAGGGAACACTTCTGGGATTTGAAGGGAGTATTTGCATTGTAGAGGCACTTGCATATGCATTGACATAACTTCTTTGTTTATTGTTGTAAAGAAGTTTGAACTGTTGCTCTTAGCATTTTGTGGATAAATGCTTGTTTTGTGAAAAAATAGAGGACCCTAGACTGGTAATTCAACACCTTGAGCTCTAACATTTATTAGGAAAAAATTTAAGAAGGAGTTAGTCAATGATTTTGTGCTATAAATTCCTTTGCATTCAAGAGCACAGTGGAGAAAAACTGTTTCAGAGGACTTTGCCATGCTGTTGATTACTTGCTACTCTTATAGGTCAGCTGTTAATGACTATGTGTCATTTCTTGTTACTAACAGCCCTAGAAGTCCTCAGGGATTATTGAATGTCAAAGAATGATGAGCTAATATTTACTGAGCCTTTAAAATAAGAAGGGAGTGGTTGCTTAGTTAATGAGGATCTTAATTAGTGTGTTGGAGAATATAGAATACTGTGATATAGTCAGATGCTACTTGAATCTGTACTCTAGGCACTAGTTACTTTTCCAAAAAGGAAAATTACAAGAGGACTAAATAGTGTATTCATGCAGTTGTCTTATTCTCATCTACATCTTTAAAGTCGTAATAAATTAAAGATGTCATTGTAATCTTGACATGCTAACTGTTGAGATTAAATGAATCAGTTCTACTGACTCTTTCAGTACTGTGGTCTGAATCTGTATTGAATTTAATTTTGTGTGTGTTGTTAGTATTACTGTCACATAGCTGAAGGCAGAAGAATCTTCTCACGATTCGTTCTCTGTGGTCTTCCCCCTTGCCACAGGGATATAAATATATAAGTGTACTCATACTATTTCTAGTTTACTTGCTTTTTTCCCCATTTATTTTTTTTATTTGTAATCCTCTTGAGTTCAGTGAAGTAAATGGAAAAGTTTGCATTAGGCTAACACTGACTTATGGAATTGTTTCCTAAACATGTCTTCTGATATGAAAATATCATTCATTGTATATATGCCAGTGATAGGAATATACATATGATACAGAAACATGAAAACAGTAAATCTTGTTTTATTTATTTAAAAGGAAATCTAATAGTTGAATAAATATTTGCCAATTCATAATAGAGTGTTAATGCTGGAGCTCTGGTGATCATGTTTTGATGCTAAAAAAGGTGGGTTTTTTTCTGTGTACATTTGGCATTAGCCTAATTTAGATCTTTGTTATAACCTTCTATTCAAGGACCTTGCCTATTCTCATATTTCAGAACTATTTGCATTATTTTGCTATTGCATTTTTGATTAAATGTGCTCCTAACAGCAATTCTGATAACAATTGGTATGACTTATCTCTTCATGGCTTGATAAATGGAAAACTGGCAAGAAAAAACCCTTCTGGCCTGTTTTGAGTTTTCTTAGACAGTGTAAAGGTTTTGTGAGCCTCTTAGTATTTTTTCTTCTTTATATAGGTAAAGAAATATTTAGATTATTTTTTTCTGTAGTTAATTTGTATATTTGTTTACAAATGTCATGCCAACAAAAGATTTTTAAGTGTACACTAATTTGATGTTTCTTGTGTTTTATAATTTTTAATATTTAGTAATTTTTTTCCACAATGCAATCTTCTGAATTATTTATGATTGTACTACTATTTTCTCCTTTACTTTTTTTGTGGGCTTTCTTTGTATATTTTTTTCCTTTTCTACCCCCACCTCTTTTTTTTTTCTTTTTTTGTCTTGAATGGAGACACTAAATTGCTACCGATAGAATGTAAGTGCCTTGCTTCAGTAGTTTGCCCAGGTTAGTTGTGTATCATTTCAGCCATATACACTAAAATTATTATTATTATTAGGTCAACAGTGTCTTGGTTTGCTTTCATAAATCCACAGAATACCAATTGAAGAAATAAATTTTCAAATTTCTGCTGAAAGGAATAAATCTATAAATGTGCATTCTTAATATGTATTTACCTTCTTTTTCTGTGTGCACGAAAGGATTGTTCCCATTTAAGAGTTCCTGTAATGCCTGATCCCAAAACTGATCAGTGGCAGAAATCTGGCCACACTCAGGAGCCCTCTGTGGGATTCTGCACTGTTCAGGTCTCTATTCTCTCCCAGAAAATTGGTCTGGGATCATGGTGTTCCTTACCAGGGAGAACCCTTGTTTTTGAAATGAACGCTTTTTAAAAATACTGAGATCTTCAGGTACACATGGTGTTGCCTAGATTTATGTCTGTTTGAGCATACTAATGATGCCTCCTTCAAATCTGCACAGTATTTTGTAATAGAACTATTAGAGTTTTTTTTGAAATCAATGCAAATACGCACCTTGCTTCTTTTTGCATAAATTAGTAGCCTTTGCCACCTCCTGTTATTATGTTGAAGCTGACTGGAGTGCTTGTCAATCCAAATCCATGAACACTGTTAGCATTCATTGATTTAAAAAGTGCTTAACTGTATTTCATACTTTTGGGTTAACATAAAGTTTGTTGCTGTTAAAAATGACGACTTAATTTGATACTGTTCTGTTTTAGACATCCTTAGCTACCCGTTTTGCTCAAGAAACATTTGGAAAACAATACAAACAAACCTTAGGACTGGACTTCTTCTTGAAAAGGATATTATTGCCAGGTAAGAGAATAAAAACTAATTCTGAAAGGCTGGGTGGCAGCAGGACTTGCAGAAACAGATTCTTCAGAGTAATGTGTACTAAATAAGCTTAGTGCAGTGATTTTTATGGCAAAGTAAATTAGGTTGTTTGGAGAATATTTTGTTCATACTTTCCTGTCAGGTGTCATAGAGTTATGCATTTGCAACTTACATCTCTAAGTAAAACACTGAATTCAAATAAAAGGAGTGTTATCTATATTGATGAATTTTATAATCCCTGCTTAAGTGCACTCACTTTCCATGTGGGTAGTGTAACATACAACAATGAAATGGAACTTTAAAGATATTAATTGAAAAAGTGTATGTGTTTTGAAAGAAATATATATATTTTTAAATGAAATACACAGCTTATATTTGAGTTGTGTGGGAGATGCATAATGCAGCTATGGACTCACAGTGCTCTAATATGTGAATGCTGTTTTATGCAAGGCAGCATGAAATTGCTGGCATTTAATAGACCACTAAAATTTAGGGTCCCTCGGCACTCATAAAAATACAGTTTGAGCATTCAAGATGTTTCACTTCATGAAAGCAAAGAAACTATTTAGATGCCAGTTGCAGCACACTGCATGGAAAATGCAAAGAAATAATTAAAAAAGAATAAGTGCTGGTTAAGTTTGTCTCTGGACAATTGGGGTTTAAAATACATCTTTTCACTGATTTGTGTGTGCTCATATTCTAAGTATGCAAGTATTTAATTAAAAACATTTGCTTCTAGATTCAGAAATCAGAAGTTAGAAAAGGTTAGTGTTATTATTAAGAGCTGTAGAGAGATTTGATAAAGTTGATGCAAGTTCTGTAGTTCTGTCTTCTCCTGTGGAGGATGAGGAGGGAAAGAAACCCAGAAAGTAAGCATTTTATCTGTAAACTGAAGTTATAAGAAAGTGTATACAGTTCTTGAACTTATTTTTAAAAAAATGATATTGCAAATAATTTCTTGATTGTGTTTATATATTTTCTTAAGTGAAACAGAATAATCTTTTCAGACTACCCCTGTGTTCACTATTTTGGTTTGGCCATTTTGCTGAACTTTTTTAGTATCTGGTTAATGATAAAGTACCAAATCCCAGTGCTTATTTCTTCATAAAATCAACAGAATAATTTTTTATTGTCTTGCTCATGCCTCTAAAAATACCAGTGTGTATAATGCTTAACAGCAGTACTTGCAAGTGGAATGTGTACACAAATCATGCAGTGTGCATGCTGAGAACTTGTATTTTGCAAGTTTTTATTCCAGCTGTGAAGCATACAGAAACTATTAGTACGTTGCTGGGATTCTAAATATCCTTGTTGAGTAGAAAAGTTGGAAAATTATCAACTGTTGCTTCATTCATTTTCGTTCATAGTTTATATTGTGTGTGAATTTCATTCATTCATAGTTTATTTTGTAATAAAATCAGAATGCCTGTAAAAATAGCTCCAAAAAGTCTGTACATCTCTTTTCCTCAAAACAGTAGCATTTGCATTCATATTCAGGAAGAAACATTTTTCTGTAGGTTGTCACTCTGGTTTTGCCTATACCTATATATGTATTTAGATGTATATGGCTCTCTGTTTCATAGGTAAACTGGATTAGTTGTAGGGAGTAAGAGGGAGGGAGGTTTCATTTCTAAATGCTGGAATGGGAAGCATTACTTTAGTAAGTGGATTTTTCTAATTTCTAGATTATTTCTGGGTTTGCAGAGTTTACTCTATGCTTGTTTACTTGACAGGTTAATTGAGACCGCTGCACAGAAATTATGTGTATCAGTAGGAAAAAGGACTCTATTTCTCTTGTTCAGTAAGAGAATTGATGAACAACTATGGTTCAGTAGTTGGTTTTTTTTTCTTCTTCAATGTAAGCAAAGATTCCAGAAATTAAAATTACAGATTTCTAGAATTACAAAGAAGTTTGCATTGGGCTTCATTGAAATATATTATAACTTACAAAATAAAGTACTGTTTTTCTGGATTTTTTTTGTTTTCTTTTAAATTTTTTTTAAGATAAAAAAGGCATTTGTCTCCAATTGTTTTAGTAACTAATGCAGTTTTGCAGCGAATATAGTAAATATTTTGCATGGTAAAACAGTAGAGTTTAATACAAATCAGAAGTATTTTGATAAATTTTGAATGTTTTCAGTGTTGCACAACATGTGTCTAGTATTCAACATGTGAAATTCACTACCTGCAGTTTGTTCAAAATACTTTTTTTTAATGTGCTAATCAGTTTCATTATATTTATTGATGCAGAATCTTGTATAGTTTGGATGCAGCTGTGGTGTAGGTTTTAGTGCTTAAATAGTGTATCTGTTACTCAGAGGGTCTGCTGATAGAGACTCCTAAGAGCTGTAGTTGTATACTTTTTGGGAGGTTGTGGGTGCAGCTCAGTAAAGAGGATTCTTCTGTTAGAAGGATTTTTTTAAAGTTGTTGGTGTAAAAAGTGTTCAGACCTGTGTCTTGACTGTGCAGTGCTGCAGGTAAGGTTAACCAGTGCACCAAGGGTCCTCCTGCAGGGTCACTGCTGCTGCAGCCCAGTGGCTTCACTCCATGCCAGGAGCAGTCTGTACACCTGCACTGTGCTACCCATGTGTTTCAGCTTTGCATTGTGTGTGTTTTCTACACACAATGCAAAGAAAAGAAGTGCTGGGGATTTTTTGTCCCTTAATAGTGTGTTACGTGTTATTTTGACAGTATTCTCCTGTTATTTTATTGGAGAGTTGAGAATGTTTCCAAGAACTGTCTCATTATGCATGGTTTCTTTTTGTTTTGTTGTAAGTCTCTAGTTTTTATGTTCCTGTTAAATTGAAAAAATACAAGATTTCAAACTTTTCGCAGAGAACTTTGTGTGCTACTATCTCAGTTTTTAATTAAATACTTGCTAGGTAAATTGCCTGCAGTTTTTCCTTTTGTCAGAATAATCCTAACATCCTTCTTTCTTCCCCAGAATCAATCAGAGCACAAAGCAAATATTACAGAACCTATTTGGAACAAAGGGAAAATGCTGCATATTGTACAGGAGATGATCAGTATGAATTTCATAGTTAGTGAGGTCCTAATTAAGAAGTTCACCTTAAATGAGCATTCCAGTCTTTTTTTTCCCTGTTTCTATTTTCTGTTGTTAATGAAACAGAGTAAATAATTTGTAATAGGAGACTTTTTTAATTGACAGTCACAGACTATTTAATGTAACTTACTGCACTACAATTTTTAAGGTTATTCCATGCAGTTATCCAGATACTGGGGCCAGAATGCTGTGCATAATTTTCCTTAGGAGGAAAATCAAGTTGAAACTTTTTAGAGTACTTGAACACAAAATTAGGAATCTGAAAATTACTGATTTTGAAAGTGATAATATGCATAAAGGGTTTTTTTTTCCCAAAATAGATGTCATGAATAACACAGTGACTTTCCAGCAGAATACATAGGGGTAGAATATTGCAGCGTGGTGAGCCTTTGAGCCTGCATAGTTTGTTTACCCACTGAGGATGTGTAGTCTTTTCAGACTGAGGATGCACTGGTTTATGGAAGGCTTTCCTGCATTGTTTGCGATCATTTCTATTCTAGGCTTTTAAAATAATTAATTAATTAATACATAGTATATGAATTATCAAAACAAATAAGCTTTTTGTTGATTATAAAAGGTTGCCTTGATTGAATTGGGGTGTTTATGATGTGTTTTCTAAGCTCCATGCAGATTTTTTCTTGGTATTAGATAAAACTCAGAGTAGCCTAATAGTACTGTTTCACATTCATCTCAAGGTAGTAGTTTTGGGAATCTGCTCTTTTAACCAGATTAAAGCAAGGTTGCATAATAAAAATATAATGTGGTACCTGTAATGTCACTGGTAGCATATATTCAGCTATATAGTTATAATTTGCTGTTATTTTCACCTAGTACAGTGATACATTTCCATGGAGCACATTCCCTTGTGTAACCAATGCCAGCGTGTCAGTTACAGATTTACAGCTGAATGGATCATGTGGGGTAAAATCAGATTGTCAACTACATAAAGTAGTTGACTAAAGAATATATCTTAGCAAGCCAATGTAATGTGTTTATTTTCACTTGATTTGTAATTGTTGTGATGTGAAATTTGTTGCATTTTTTAAAATCTAGGAGTAAAATTAATAGGCAGTTGTGATTATTTGTGAGTATGTAGAATTTGTATTAACATATAAGTGTCATGTGAGTTGTGTGTGGGTTAGAAAAAAGTTTGTAAGTCCTTACTCTGTTAGAGTTTGGTGCTGCAGGTAATCAGTACAGTTCTGAAAACAGTTTTTACCATGCAAAATGTGAGAAAGTATACTTTAATATGTTTGTATGTATATGGTGCCATACCTTTCTATGTATATTTTTGATCTGTGAGTTGCTGAGTTGTCTTGGAGAATATGTATGATTTGTAGGATGTTAAATATTCTACATGATTTTTTGCTGGTTTTGTTTTTAAAAACCCATTAACAATTTCAACATAGCTTAAAAATGGTTTAGAGTAGAAAGGAGGGTCTATTCTTGGTGTAGATTCTTTGAAGATGAGACTATGTAAATCATGTACAATTTAGGTTCATGCCTTGAGGTGAAGAGTGGAGGAATTAATCATAGTTTGCATCCTCAGCTTAGATGGATGTCAGCATTTCCATTTTTGTACTCTGTCAACTATACAATTCTGTAACTGTATACTACTATCAGCATCACTACCACCTCACTTCTTGATCTGTAAGGAAGATTTGGAGAGGGGATGAGGAAGGAACACACAGTATGAAATAATGTGGATAAGTTGGCATTAATTGTGTTACCTTTCAGTTCCAAGTACCCCACTACAGAACGTTCTTTGTGCATTTTTACATGTTTTGTCAGTGGAATATGTTATATAATTTCTATTCAGGAGTGTTATACTTTATGCAATTCCAATTATTTTATGTCACTATTAGATATGTTAATAGCTAGCTATAGTTTATTGTATCTTAATGACTTAGCTGGACACAAATGACTTTTTTCCCAGATGATACAATTATTTTTGTTTCAAAATTTAGTTCCTGTTTCTTGTATACTTGTTAAAAGCTATTGCTGTTGAATATATTTGTGTCTAAATTGTCCAAGTTACACAATATCTGTATAATTTTTTTTCCAGGAAATGTGAATGTTACTCTTCAAGTGTGGGATGTAGGAGGACAAACAATAGGAGGCAAAATGCTGGATAAATATATTTATGGAGCTCAGGTACAGTATAAATGCTGATAATTATATCTTATAGCAATGATATAAAATTAATTGAAACTTTGTTTGTAAAATTATGCATACATACATTATATTTAGCTTTTAGTTGACTGATTCATGAATCTCAAAAATGTTGAACGTCTGTTCAATCTAAACTTAATTGATATTAATATGCTACTTTAATTTTGGTGTGTAGCGAATTTTTTAGAGCTGACATAAAAAGCAAAGCAAGTGTGTGCATTTATAGAACTGAATAACTCCCAAGAACAGATGGTTGTTTCCAGGCTTTGTGTCTTGAGTTAAGGAAAGCAATCACAATAAATAGTAAAGGCTATTTGGTTATCCACATGGTAGATAGAGTGGCTGCTTTCAGAACAGCTGCCTCCTGGGGGGAAAAGGTAGAAGGAGGAAATTAAGAGCAATCCTACACCATTAAACTCATACATACAACTGAGGTTATAAGGGGGCAAACAAAAGGAGACAACCAGCTAAATATTTTTGCAGAACTCCTGTCCAATGAAAATTAACTTTATCTTCAGGTTAACTAAGCAACTTTAAGTGGATGGTAGGATTAAGTATTATAACTGCATCTTGAGTCATGAGATGATTTAGGAGTATGTGTTATAAATGCCAAACTTCTTAGCGTGAGTGATCCTAATATGTGTTTTGTTCCTTAATTTGGAGTTTGTAATGAGACCAATAGTCATATAATGTGCTATTTGATAATGTTATACAACACAGGAATGGCTAATGAAAGAGATTGGGATTTATTAGTGAATTGGATAAAGAGAAACTTGTCAGTGTGATGTTTTGTCATTTTCAAAACAATGTCAATATTTTTCGCTGTTGCATCTGTTTATAGCATGTTATTTTTTTTAATAAAACACGATTTGCTAACCTGTTACAGATCTAGCAAGCAATAGGAGAAAGTGGCTTCCTTGACAGAGGGAATTTGATTAATCACAAATTGTTGCCATATGTCCAAAGTAAATTTAATGAAGGAAATAAAAGCTATTAGCTTTGTCTGTATTGAATTTAGTGATAAACTTAGGAGGTTCTTACCAAAAATAGCAGGTCAAAGAGTTAATGCCAGTGCCCAAAAGTGCATAAGCAGTTGATATCAATAAGACTAAAGTTTGATTTTTTTTTTATTATTCAGAACACATTAACAAAAAAACCCTATGTCCAATCTCTTTGTCTTTAATCTTCCTCCAGTCCTCATTTTAACCCAATTTTTTTTAATGGACTGGTGATTTTTCTCTCCCAATGTTGGCGTGTATTGCCAATGTCTGTAAGAGGCTTCTTATCATCAAAGTTGAGTTCTAACACACTTTTCTGTTAGCTTTATAACAATGACTGTTAAAGATGCATAAAATTGTCTCTATTTTCACCTATTCATGAAATGACAATGAATAGTTTGAAAAAGCACTGCTTTCAGCTTATTTCTAGGCATAAGCTTATTTAATGTTGAACATCTGTACCTTTTTATAAGAAAAATAGGAAAAGCAAAGAAGAACAAGTAGGAGTATTTGTAAGGGTAAATCCTTTTAAATATGGATAAAAAAATTCCTGTGAATGGGCAACAAAACAGCAAGAAAGTAACTGCGAAGAGGTAGCATGGAGTTTGTAAAGGTAAAATGTGCACAGCCAGCTTGATTGTTGTCTGTGGTTAGGTGGTTAGCTGTGTGGAGAGGAGAGCAGTGGATGTAATTTATCTTTGCTTCAGCAGGGCCTTTGACATAATCTCCCATAATATTATTACAATATTACAATAAATTTACTGAAAATCTGAATGGACAGCTGGATTTAAAGGTCTGTAGCTCAGTGTCATACTGATGCCTGATGATAAGTTTTATTTCTTAAGGGTTGGTACTGGGCTTGTTTCTTTTACTGATTCTTTTATCAATGGAGCAAAACATTGTAAGTTTATGAATGGCACCAATTTGGGGAGGAATGGTCGCTATGCTGGAGTGTAGGGCTGCTACTGAGAGAAACCATGACCAGCTGAAGGAGTGGACCAACAGAAACCTTGGGAGGTTCAGCTGATGACAGATGCCAAGTCCTGCACCTGGTACAGAACAATCTTATGCAGCTGGGAATCAACTGGAGAGTGTGCAGTGAAGGGCCACAAAGGTGATTAATGGTCTGGAGCATCTGTCCTGTGAGGAAAGGCTGAGAGAGCTGTGACTGTTCAGCCTGGAGAATAGAAGGCTAATCAATATATATCCACCATGCAGGAAGGATGCAAAGAAGAAAGAAGCAGGCTCTTTTGTGTAGAGAACCAGAGCAATAGGCACAAACTGACACAGGGGATTCCTTGTGAGCATCAGGAAACACATTTTCTGCTGTGGGGAAGACTGAGAACTGGCACAAGTTGACCAGAGAGGTTGTAGAGTCTCTACAAGTCTCTAGTCGGTTGCCACAGTCGGTTGTACTGATAGAGAGTAAATAATTCAATTATGGCAATTTAATCACTTAATCACATGTATTTGAGTGACCATGTCCTCAGGATCAGCAAAGACAGGAGTGGTTAAGTTTGTGTGGACTGTAAGCTGCTTTCATTTGCAAAAAACTCTGTTTTCATCTGCACGTTTCTGCAACAATTACTTTCCTCTTTACTAAATTAATATTCTGTGACTAGAAAAAATACTCTAGAATTTTGGCCTGACTTATTTTATAATATTAATGAATATTTGAAAGTTCCTTGATGCAAAAGTCAGTCATAGGACGAGGGTAGCTGAGGATAAATGAAGAAGAAAACATATATTTTTAATTATTGTTTTCTCTAGCTTCCTTTTATTGTGCCAGATCTTGACATAAACTTGGCATGTCTTAAATTTTGATTATCACTACAAATATATTGCCTGGTTACAACACATCCATACTAACACTTCAGTTTTGAAATAAGGCTGCTGCTGTTTGCATGGTAAATCTTTCAGAAGCACTCCCATACTTACCTGTAATTGCTGCCCCTACCCACATATCTAGTTTAAATTGTCATTAAGAGCTGGCATATGCTACATCATAAATTGGCTTGTTAATAGGAGTACTGCAGACTCTATTTTCTCCAGGGAGCAGCAAATAATTTCTGCAATATTTTCAGTTTCCAGTGACCTATTTTTGAAAATGCTCTGTAATTCCTAAACAAAAAGCACTCACATGTGCACTAACATAGACAAAATGTCTCTTACTAGAGTGTAATTATGCAAGCAGGGACTATTCACCATGTTGCTGGAGACTAGAGAATCAATGTGCTGTTCTTGGCCTGTCGTCTACCATGTTTCAAACGTCTACCGTGTTTCAAACCTCTTTCATGGCAGGGAAATACAGCACTTTTGTGTAAAAATGGCAGTGTTAATTTTCCTCCTGAATTCCTCACACATAATAGGGAAACAACAGTTTTTATGTTGTCTACTTGGTCTGTACTCCATATACTGTAAGTTTGTCGAAAATACTATGTATTTTTTTGAAAGAAGTTATGGGATTTCTCTGTTAAATAAAAGAAAAAGATGAAATAAATTTTAGCCATGGAGTTGTGACTTGTCTTTCATTAATTGTCTCTATCATACTAAGTTGTTTATAGAGTGCTGTTGTGGTGAAAATCTAAGCAGAAAGTATTCTTTATGACCTGGATGCCATGCTGCCTTTTTTTTTGCATCTATATGATGTTATACCTGCCATCTTTGCTTTTTGAAAGTGCAGCAAATTTTGGCAAACTAAACAAAAAAATGTTTAAGAAAAGAACGTGCTTTAGAAGCAGTGTTTTAGATCACGGAGAAAGGGACCAAAAGGAAGTGAAGTCAGCCCTAGTTGCAAACTTTGTTAAATGATTTCTTTGATGGTAAATCCACTGTGAATACCCTTTCATCCTAAGGGGTAGGTAGGCTACAGTTGTCTAGAAGACATGAAGCAGAGTAGAATTTTGATGAAGAATTGGTTAGAAAGAATTGGCTAACTTTAAATGCTCACACATTCTTATTTATTCTCCATCAAACTCTGATTAGTGTTGAAGATTGTTTAGATGATCTGCTCTTCTGCAAGCTGGTGAAAGAACTCGACAGCTGGTGAAAGAAGCATTGCCATGTGCTCTTTCCTCATTTGCAACTTCCAGCATTATGGCTGGTGTTTTTTTTTACCATGCCGTAGATTGAGTTTCTTTTCCACTGAACATTTAATAACTTAAGTATGTCCTTCCTAGAGCAAAACTTAGATTGTGAGACAATTTAATTTGACAGTTTAATGCCGAGTGCCCAGGCATTTGGGTAGTTATAAAAATAGCCGGGAGAAATTAACTGAGATTAACTTGGAGGTGTAAGATAATAAATAAATAATAAATAAATTGTACCAAAATTGGAAGAGGGAAGTGGATGTTTAATCTTCTATTTGATTAGTAAAGGAGGAAAGATAGCAAGAGGAAAGTTGGGTGTCATAATTCTTAATTTCCTTGAAGGAACTGATGAAAGCTCTTCCTCAGAAATTAATAGCAACTATATAAGGAACAAAAAAATCAAGTTTGCCAAGGAGTTAGTAACATTGTAGAAAACAAGATAGGGTGGTGTTGCTGTCATAAGAAAGTAGTTGGAGGGATCTCAGTAGGATCTGTTGCCCTCCTTCAAAGCTATCCATGTGTAATGACTTTTATCAACCTTCAAAAATTTTTTTAGTGCTGGTGTACACGACTGTTATAAGTGGTGTATTTCAGAGCTTTGCTATTCTTAGTCTCCATAGGGTTTTTTGTTTTGTTTGTTTGCTTTTTTTAGTACTCTTGCTATAATCTTCTTGCTGTGAGTTAAACTTATCACTACATGTTGTATTGATCACAGGTTTGTAAGAAAGTGCAGGGTGGAAGGATGTCAGGAGGTTGGAGTACAACACTCTCTAAGTAGGGTCAACTGAGAGATGGAGCTAGGCTGCTCAAGGATCTATTGAGTCCTGCTTGTAAACTTCTAAGGATGGAGACTGAGCAACCTCTGGTCAACCTGCTTTATTTTCCTCATGGTGAAAAAGCTTTTCGTTAGTTATGGTTTGAATTTCTCTTATTTCAGCTTATGCCCACTAGGTTTTATCTTGCTGTGCACTGCTGTGAAGAGCCTGGCTCCATCTCCTTAATTGCTTCCTCATGGGTGTGGGAAGGCTGCTTTTAGGTCTTCCCAGGGCCATTTCCTCTCCATGCTGAAGAATTTGGGTTTATTCATCTCTTTGTCATAAAACAAGTGCTCCAGCCTCTGATCATCTTGCTAGCCCTCTGCTGAAGTTACTCCACTTTTATCTTGAGGGACCTAAAGATGTGTTCTGACTGGATGTGTTATTTTAGCTATGACCCAACAAGTGCTGAGTAGAAAAGTTTACTGGACTGGTGGCTGTGCTTCTGCTAATGCAGCCCAGGATTACATTGGCCATCCTTGCTGCCAGGGAATGTTGCTGGCTTGGATTTGGCCTGCTGTCTGACAAGACCTGCAGGTCATTTTTAGTTGCTCTCCAGCTAGTCATGTGTTGCTCCCCTCAGCCTGTATTGCTCATTCCTTCCTAGCTGCAGGACTTGGCACTTGTCCTTGTTGAATGTTGAAAGGTTCCTGTTCACCCATTCCTTGAGCATGTCTACATACCCCTTTGAGATAACCTTGCCCTTGGGCACATTGGCTGGTCTTCCCAATTTAGTGGCTTCTGCAAACTATGTATAAAAGCATATACAAAGAGAGCTCCTGTTATCTTCTCTTGAAATTTGTTACCAGTATCATCATGCCTAAGTCATGCATTTGTTGAAGCAGACAGGTTTTTTTTCCCACTTTTTCCATGTCAGTCATGGTTTCCAAACCTGTGATACTGTTCTTCATTTCTTCTATTGTACCCTTTTTTGGCATTCAAGTGTCCAAAGATGGATTTTTTTCCTGGAATGTTTTATGCCAATGTGATATTTGCAAAATAAGTTTGACATATTCAGCTGTGAGCTGTAACTCCTTGATCCTATTATATGGAACTTGCTGCAGAGCCAGATGCTTCCTATTGTGCACTTGGCTATTGCTTCCTTTGAACTTGTCATGGTATTTCTTGAATTGCATCTTATTATTTTTACACTGTTTGTCATCATAAAATCTGAGCTCTTCTCAAATAGTCTTGCAGTCTATACTAATTTGTTATCAAATGTGAAGTTATTAAGTGTGCACTCTGTTTTGTGATCTAAGGCACTCCTTATGATCTGAGACACTCCTTTTAACTATCAGTTAAAACAGGGCCCAGACAAATGCCTGAAAAAAACTTGAAAAATCTTTTCTATTGAGAGTAGGTCTTTCACCAGCTATTTTTGTATGGATCATACTGTTTTTTCAGAATATTTGTGAAAATTTCATGTGAGAAACAGTGTGCAGATGTAGGGTTTTTTTGCCAGGTGTGAACTTCGTGACAACAAGTGTACCTGAAACCAATTCCGACTTTACTCCTCATTTACAAGATATTGATTTTATTAGGGTGTAGTGGAAAGCAGGGGCAGAAGACTCAATAAGATCTGAGAGCTGATCTTGAAATTGTGGAGGGGACAGGGATGACATTTGGACTGTTAATAGACTGTGCTTTATAATACTGAATATTTGTGTTGAGGAATCATCAGAAGTGTCTGCTTTAAGTATTTGTCACCTGTAGCTTGGCCCAAAACCTTGGAAATATACGGGACTCCTTTTTGAGTTCTCACCATGTGTTTAGGTTCTCTTTTGAAAGTTTAAAGCTCACCCATAACTTCTTATCTTCTGCAACACTGAAGGAATGGAATCTGGCCTTTATCCCCAAAAGGCAGCGGAAACATGACAGACAATGTGCAGAAATGTATAATTGAACTGCCTTTTGTTTTTCTTTCAAAAAAGGGAACATTGAAACTACAACTAATATTTGTTAAAACAAAAGACCTTCTCCAGTGTAATTTTTATTTTCCTGTTCGTGTGAAATGCTATTTTGGGTTTATCATAAAGTCTATACAGTTTGTAATATTTCTGATATAAATAATTGTGCTCTTGACTGTATTGCCATTTATTTCCTGAAATGTGCATTTGGAACACATGAAATGCAGGAGAAATACTGTATGTGTATAGTGTAGGAATTTATAATTCCTTTAACTGACCCTTGAAAGATATGATGCCATTATTTGTTACTGCTCTATTCTATGACAATAATGATTTAGACTGCTGCAAATCTTACCATGTTAAATTATTTTCCAATCTGTAACATTTTAAACATGTCTTTTTATTTAGGGCATTCTCTTGGTTTATGATATTACCAATGGCCAGAGTTTTGAAAATTTGGAAGACTGGTATAATGTGGTAAAAAAAGTGAATGAAGGATCAGAAACACAGCCACTTGTGGCCTTGGTTGGAAATAAAAGTAAGTTACTCATATTTACTTATAATGAAATACTCTGGATGTGGTTTGCTATTAAAGAAATGACATAAGCTATATGTATATTTAGCAAAATGCAACTGAATACTATCTTGTTTGTTTTTGCTGTGTACAGATGACATATTTGGGTATACTTCAGAATTATGGCTGCAGGCAGATAGATTATGTTATGGGATTTGTTGCATCATGCTTTGCCTAGCCTGCAGCCTCCCTCCCTCTGTCCTCTTTGCTTGGAGAGCAGCACACAGGAGGAGGGAGATGACTCCCCATGTTTGAATTTGATAGACCCCAGGAAATAACCATGGCAATGGAGAACTGGGGAGCATTTCTGGGTGGATTAAAAAGTATATTTCATGATTCTGTATGTTAAGAGACTGCTGCATTAACTACTGGTATACGTTTAAAAAGCTACACTATGCGATAGGCATAATACCTAGGAATTGCTTATCAGACTTTTTTCAAGGTTATCTGTAGTTGTGTACATCAGGTGATTTGTGTTGTTTTAACCTCCTTTTTTTTGATCACATAAGTATAATATAACAGTGTTCCTCTGACCACCAAAATACATCACTTTATATAATAATCACTTAGGTAGTTTCCTAATTATATAGATTCAAAATTTCCCCATTTCCAATTAAAAAATCTTACACAAACATTATTATTAACATACCTGCTGTCTTGATCCTGGCTTTCTTACCCATTTTTCTGTTGAAGATGGTAAAAGCAACATATAAAAAGTTTACAATCAAAGTGATAGAAGTGGGTACATAATTTTTAAAAACTACAAACATGGTATTTGAGCAACAGAAAATATTTGATATTTTTTTCACTTGGCAAATAATTTGTGTTACAGTGACCATGTCATCAACAAACCTGAGAGAAGAACCTTATCCAGCATATTAGAATTGTTTAAAATAATTTGAAAACAATGTAGAGACAACAATTTCATTCAGAATCATTAATTGTAGTATTGCTACAGTGATGCTGTAACATTTTATGACATTAATTATGAAATACTAATTTCCTGTGAAGAAAACAGAGAAGGTCTTAGAGTTACAATATATAAATAGCACTTCTGAAAGCATAACACTGACAGTGTTGTACTCTAGCTGACCAGAGTCAATAATACAAATTCTGTTGAAATTCAAATGAAAAGTATTTTTCACTGGTTTCTATTTTGCCCTAAATTTGGACTTCCTTGCTGGAGTTCTGCAAATATTACTAAGTATTTGCAGTAAGATACACTGCAACATAGCATAAAAAAAAAGTTCCTTTGCTGAACTGGCACAATAGGTGTAGAAAACGATACATTGTTTTTGATTTGGAGGTTGGTTATTTCTTTTTTTTTTCAAATATATATGCCCACAATTCTTTAATATTTGATGTTTCCCTGGGAGCATCTGGAAGTAGAATCTGGTTTTCTAGGTGAGTTTTCAGACATATGCTGACACTGACTAGTAAAAGGGCTTTCATTTTATGGAAATAGCAGTTGAAGGAATTACTTGCTGCTTTGTTTTCCTTCAGAAGCTGTGTATAAAGAAAAGCAGCAAAATATTGATTTCATGTGATGCTAAGGATGTTTGTTGCTGTTGCACATGTTGAGCATGCAGGGGATACTGTTTACAGAGGGATGTTTTTGCATTATTTTTATTTCAGCATGATAAAAATTAGACTTTGAAAGTATATTGCTTTTCTGAATTCTGTAGTAGGAGAAGAATATCTAGGAGGGCTTCCACCCCAATACTAAAAATTAATAGTAGGCTGCTGTCATTACATAAATGGAAAACAAAGTGTTTATATAGAAGCATGGTTTTGACTCTCACATATTATGAAGAGATAATACTGCTGGTACTAGCAAATTATTAAGGAGGAATCACTCTGTTCAACTTCTTTGCTTAGTAAGTGATAAAACACTCAGATGCAATGCAAGAGCAATAATAGGTTAAGAGCCAGGAAAAGCCATTTGATGAATTGATGGACTTTCTTGACCTCATGCATCATTCAGAAGAATTACTCCAATGAGTGGTTTCTGTCTCAGGATTGTACTTGGTTTTTTTGAGCTGTACATGTCTTTTAGGAAAATATCCAGGTAAGCTGACTGAAAGATTAGAAATGTCAATATCCACAGGCAAGTTATTCTAACACTTAACTTTCTTTCTGATAAAAGCTTTTAAAATTTGCCAAGTATGCAGTTATTTTCATTCATAGCATTTGGAAAGCTTTGGGCCAGTCTTTAGACTGATAAGAATTTGGAAGCTCAGCCTCTGTTTTGAAACTTTGGCTTAAACTTAGTTACTGAACTTGGGCTGTCCTTTGTCTGTTTTCTCTTAGTAACTCGGTCTGAAATACATGTGTATTTTTTCCATTTGGGGGAGACATACTTGGATTTTCTCTAGGGAAAAAGCTATAGCTTGGAAGAAAACAAAAATATTTCTCTACACAATATGATACAGAAAACTCTACACTTGAGTTCTATACAACTTCCCTGAGTAATTTTGTCATTGAAAGCAAATAATTTGATACCTAGCAGTATCTGGTGCATAATTGTTTGCTACTGTTAAGTCATGCAGTTTTATAGGTAATTTATTAGTGGTTTCTAGTATAAATTTGTAGTCATTTTGTTAAATGTTAAGTTTGTGGGGATTTCTCTACTATTCCATAAAACTTAAAGAAACTGTTCAGTGCTGATTTAAATGAAACAGTGCTTGTTTTCACTGTTCTGGTTTATTGTGCATTGCAATAGATTAGCAGCATGAACACAGTAAGCTGCTGTGTCTGTTTAAAGCATGATAATTAGCTTCAGAGTGGTGTCAAGCTATTAAAATGTCCTGTTGTGTTTGTAAGAGGTTAAGATTTAATCATGAAACATTTGAAAGGTAATTTCTACTTAAAAAGCTCCTATCAGTTGCTGGTGTCTCATCCATCAGAGATTTATTTGAAAATAGTAGAGCAGTATGAATTGATACCTAAATTCTGGAATTCTGGACCTTCCCACCTCTCTTTTTTATTTTCCCTTTTTTCCACTTCTCATTTTGTTTGTTTGTTTTGATTTTTGTTTGTTTGTTTTTGATTTTTTTTTTTTAATTAGATGAAGGCATGTTGTTGCCCATTAATTTATTCAAAAAAATTGGGAGAGCAAGAGCTTTAGAAATGCTGATCTCCCTTGTAAAACCAGGACTTTATTGAAGCTGTCTGGGTTCCCTCTGGGTGCTTAGTTTCAGCTTCTTTCTTTTTTCCTTCCTGTACCTTTTTTCTTTTTTTCCTATAGCCTGTCCAACACGTTTGATCAGACTGTAGAAAGCTGATTTGAATCAAGATCCTGCCCAGACCTGCTTTCTGCACCAATGATCAATTATCAATTGTCTTTCCATAGATTTTTGTCTGTGCATTTGATGAACAACAGAAGGAATTATAAAATTTAATGTAGAGATATTTTTTCCTATTAATTCTAAGTCATAAGATCTTAATAATCCTGAACTTTACAGCTGACATTGAATCTTACAATTGACTTTCCTAGTAGCTTACCTTGTGTTATTTTATTCTTATTGAATACAAAGTGTTCACTTTGAATCACTTATTGAATCAGCAGTGTTGCACTGCTGATTGGGAAGTAACCCTTACAGTTAATTTTAACTTTATGTTTTGGAGTTTCTATGCAATAACTCAAAACTTTTGTATATATATGTTGCTGTCAAATACTTTGATTTGTATGGTATAAATGAGGCTATAGTTATCAAGTGAATGAATTGTGTTTTGTGCACTTAGGATTGTTGCTTAAATTAGGTATTGATAAAGTTCAGTGATCACAATGGATCTTCTAGTCATTAAGTGTGAATTAGAGAGGGTTTACCATGTTTCATATGATTGATGTATTTGCTTCCTTTCTACCTTGATGGCTTTATGTATTTTCTTCTGCACTAATCTATAAGCAGTCTCCTCAAGTGTCATACCAGCATTTTCAGTGGATATATTGTAAACAAAAATTAACCCAGGTTGCATGGGAGCTATACTCATTGTGATTTATAGCTCCCAAGATGGTCTTAGGGCGCTAGTTATCTGTAGCTTATGTAGGGGGTAGGAATTATCAGGTACTGGTGTATAGTGGCTAGATGAATGATTTCTGTTCTTAGAGATATTAACCAGATCCACTCCTCAATAAAGACTAATAACTCAGATTTTTAAACAATCTTCATGACAGATGAGGGCACAGAGGAGAATGCATCAACACTAATTAAGAATGTTGACCGTTTGTTCGTCTTGGCCATGATTAATTGATCTTGGAGTGCTATCTCTGAACAGGAAGTGGGATGCTGTTACATTGTGAAGTTTAAAGGTTACATTTTAGTGTACCCTTTAACTTGCCCTTACATACAACATAAAATGTTTTTACCTATCTTATCTGAGCACAGAAAGAAACATTTTCCAGCCCAGATACAAATTAACATTTGGTGTTTTGTGTACTAATGTGAATCTGGCTAGTCATGGGACTTGCCCAGTGTGCTTTTTGACTCTGTTGCTGCATTATATACTTAGCCTCCTCCGTTGTACTCAGAAAATTTCTTCATTAATACTCAATTTGATAATCTGTTTTGTTTAAATTCAGAGCTGTGCATTCATTCTCTTGCCCCTCCCAACCGCCCCCAGTTTTCTGCTCTTGCTTCCTGCGGGCTTGCCCTTTTAAGGTCCTTCACCTATAATTAAGACAAGTGTTGAGCAGCTAATGCAAATACCCCTGTTCTTTAGAGTCTTATGCCTGATTAAACTAAAGTTCCTGTATGCCCACCAGCAGGTTTGGTCACCTGAGCCTCACACATGCTCTTGGGATTGGAGGGTAAACTACTTACATGTAGAGACTCCCTTAAAAAGAAAATTTTGTCCTGTGCTACAATAATTTTACCAACTCATTTGAATAAATGTAGAATGATACCCTGTTTTAAAATATATATTAAATGTTGGTCTCAACCTTGTTTGTCTCAACCTGTTTG